TGTTTAAAAATTGCTGGATACGCCAGAATTTTTTATCTCTAATTTGAAATGTCTACGGTTACAGCCGGCAGGGCGACGCCGTCGCCGAGCGTAGCGAGATTGCATGTAACTCAGCATTTGGTGATATTAGCCTAAAAGGGCTTTATCTTAGCCAAACAAAGGTGCAAAACAATAGTGTTCAAGCAGCAAATTCGGTTACTCATTTTCATTATTATCAAGCTTACCAGCAACGTAATGGATCAAAATTTGCATGAATTAGTCTTACCAAAATCAATATGCCTCCTGTTCGAATTAAAAGTTGCACCAGCTACAGAATTGCCCTAGCAGCGGAAGACTTCAGCTACTAAAGATGTGACTTATGCCGTGTAAATAAAAGCCATAAAGCAAAAATACAGCCAAATTTGACAAGTTTAAAGCCTTCTTATCCTGACATGTAGACCTTTTTGAGCCACCAGAGTGACACTAAACAATTGTACTTGAGTAGTAGTAACATCCTAACACCTTTGCTCAACTTTTTGAAGACCCAAAAAATATGGCCAAAAATCGATCAAAAAGGATGAGGTACCCCTCATGGTTTTCATCGAAATTTCACCTTTCTTTCCCCTTTTCTACGAAATTTTTGGTCAAACGGGGTGATTCCCTAGTTTTGTGCGGTAGTGGCGCACATTATGGTCTCTCCCATCTCGATGGTTGACAGAGTACATAGTCGCTATGTTTTTCCCTTACCAAGGTTTTTTTCAACATAGAAGAATGTCAGGAGTAGCCAGGGTATGTGATTTATCACATATACCGAGTCTCTTCTGCTCTCAACTGTGGATGATGGGTTTCACTGACGTGAACGTTTGCTTTGTTGTTGGTGTGGTTCTGATTGCTCTCTCTCTCTTGCTTGCGGCTTCGGTCGAGTATCTTTGTTCTCTCGCGATAACCATCTGATCAAGTGCTGACAGTACTATCCTTGGTCAAAAATCTCCTGGGCCCTTCTCATGGGAACAATTCAAATTAGTAGTCATGCCCTTCTTGTCCCTCTTGTGCACACACTTACAGACTAGTCGTTTTAGGTAGAATAGTCTTTTGGTAACATGTTAATAACATAATAAATACAAGTGGTAGCCTGCCTTCCTCCATAAAAAAAAATTTTTCATCGAAATTTAATCGATCGCCTTTTTTACCTTGAAAATAGAGACTTTTACTATGGTACACGAGCCTTTCAGCACTTCGGGTGGTTTCCTGACCTACGCTTCGCTTCGGTGGAAACCAACCTACGTTCAAATGGCTCGCGCTGCCGCGGACCTTTGGCTAATATCACTAAATTAATATAACTAAAATGTTAGAAGAACCTTGATTGTTGATTGATACATAATCACTAGTCATATGAGTGTTTATGCTTCAGATTGTTCTCTACCTTCGCTTCGTTTCGGTGAGAATCAACCTGCACAGCGACGGCTCCAGCTACCGGTTGCCCTTGCGTATCTTATCATAATACTACTACGTTCAAGCTGACCCTCTACTTGCATATAAAAACCCTTCATATTATGTGTGGATCTGATTCTTATGTGATGCTTTACATTCATATACACCTAGCTACTTCATATACGGGCAAGTAGAATACATGTATTTCTATTTCTTAGTCCTCAGTGCCCTTAATACAGCAAAATATGAGTGTATTTGAGCTGCTTTTTCTCGCGTTCAAAGCCGTTTTAGATTCTCAGAATAGCACCAACACTACCGCGAAAAACTTAGCGGAAATGCTCTAAAATAGGTGTTTTTGTTGGTGCTTTTTTACAGCCAAAGTATTTGGAAAAGTTGGTGCTTTCGGTACAGGCTTCAAAATTAAAACACTCTAAATTTGGCGTCAATGCGCTAAGTGGTACAAATTGAAAATATTCCATCAACATTGCAGCACAAAAGTAAACCTTATTGAAAATAGAAACTGTTGTATAGCCGATGATATTTACTGCATTACACAACAATTGAATCCTATACCGTGCAACGTTGTTCAGTTAAAAGATCAATAGTTGCTCATGGGGATTATGACATTGGAATGATATGATTGATGGATTTTTATCAATAGAATGCGCTATATATTACTCTTGGGGTAGTTGTTGGGGCAGCAATCGTGCGATTATTGGATAGAATGATATGGAAAGCAGGATTATTGATGGAAATATAGCAGAATATAGAATCATTGCTTTCAAATAAATGCAGCGTGCTATACACATGGTAATGGGACGTTGCTCCATTGGGTAGGCAATTCCTTTGACTCGTTATACAGCAGTTAGCTAGCTATCCTGTCATTCAAGAGCCTCCTGATTGTATTAAAGATAAAGCGGCAGTAGCTATACATGTTTACCCATTACGAAGAGTTCCATACAAGAGTAACAGAGATGAGGATCGACATGGAGATAAGCAGCCAGATTAGAGTTGATTGGCACCCACCACACAAATATCTAAATGCAAAACTAATGATAGTCATAGAGTCCAATCCTGAAAAATATTTAACAGCATACCACATTTGCCACGTACCATCATCGTAAACTTGACGCACAAGCAGAACAACAACAAAAGAATAGGAGGCGGTCATGAGAAACTATAAGAGATGATAGGAAATGTGAGTAACGATAATACGGCACGATGTAAGATGCACAGAGTGGTTGACAACTTACAAATATACTTTAGTATATGCTGATTAGCAAAGATCTTCCAGCAGCAGCACCAGGGGAGGATGTTCTATTCTATATTCAATGTTTAGTCACTGCCATACTTCTCAGATGATGCTCCTTACCTACCGTTATTCTCACATAGATGATTAAAACGGTGTGATACTAATAGGCAACAGCCACATTCGAGGAGAACCTACTGCGTTATCATCTGGCGTATGCTGCCGATAATATGTTTTTAATAAGAAAGCCACCAACAGAAACATTTGGTCAGATAAATTACTTACTTTGTACCAGAAAATGAATCGAAATTACGGAAAGAAAAGAAAAGAAAAGAAAAAGGATTTAAAATAATTCACGAAAAAAAATACTCTTTTTATAGACAAAATTTAAAGTTTTATTACAGCATGTCATAACCATCAGAGTAGTAATAGTCATCAGCATCATCATTCAAAGCCCACTCCCCCCAAACATACGTTATCCAACGATCCGAAAGCTTTTGAAAGTCATCAACGTGTCCCCCCTCCATTGTAAAGCACATTGCTACTATAAGAGAAGAATAGACACACTGCATCATTGTATAATTGACTTTGCTTTTTCCTTCCAGACTGGCATCATTCAAACGCTTCGTTAGCGCTCTTTCATAATCACAAGCTCGTGCGTAGTACATGAAATGATAGCTTGGATTATTTTCAATATCAAGCGCAGGTCCAAAGCGATACTTGTAATATTCAACGAAGCGCTTTACAGTGCTACAGACAGATGTGCAATAATAATTAATACTTTATTCAAAGAATTCGCATGACGTATTATTTTTATTCTAACCTCATCAAATCTGCAGAGGAACAAAAACTCCAGCTATAGTCTAGGTAAGATTCACTAGGGTCTCTTGGAACCATTGGGGTTGCGTGTACGCTTCTTGATGCAGCTAAGCGACCAGCAGTAGAGTTGCGGAAATCTTCATTATCATCGTCATCTTCACCCTCATCTGGGTCATCATCACCACCAGGACAATTGCCAGTAGCTCCATTACCAGAAAGAGAAAAAGAAGACGAGAAACCATCAAAAGAGCTACTATCAGAAGTACTACCAATAGCTCTTGTTGCAGAACGGCGGCGAGTCTTGTGGACAGAAGCCAACAGAGCAGTGGCACCCCAGCTGTTGGTACAACGATGCAAGATGAACCCATACTTCTGCGCATGTGCTTCAAAATACAGAGCATGCTTCAGGATTAATGCCTCATCCACGCGACTCCAAGCTGGAACGACCTTGTCATCTACGGCCAAATTGTTGACATAATAGTATTCATCAAGAAGACGTTGGTGATAAACTAGACACATCTTGCGAAGGGCTTTGTATTGAGCAACGACAATCGGATGATTGAAAGCGTAACCCCTTTCATTGACGTCCCCACTTGACTTCATACTAAAGTTAATGAGGCCAAGCAAACGAGTTCTGGCATCAGGGTAAATGGCATTTCCTTGGGAGTTAACCTTGCCAGAGTTGATCCAGTACTCCAAAATCTCAGGGACAACGGGATTAATATCGCGAGGGCCACGCAAATTAGGGTTTCCTACAGGAGCAGGAGCCAAGTTACGGGCTAAAATAATATATAACAATGTCAATGTCTATTTCAATTCAATGCACATCAGTGTTTACCTGTAGCAATCACTCTTCCGACATCAGTTTTATTGCCAAAAACACCATCATTCGTGGGTTGAACGGGAGGAAAGGCAGGAGACAACTGCTTGATGAGTTCCAATAAAAGATCACGATTAAGCTTAGACTCTTCCTTGAGTTCACCAACAAAAGCCTTGAGCTCCAGCATCTCTGTCTTGATAGCATCGAGGGGAGAAACTTGGGTGCGAATGGTTCTGTAGTTATTGTCCATTTTAGTGCAAAAATAATAAATTTAACTTATAAATAACAGTTGATACTTTCCTGAAAACCAAGACACATGTTGCCCTTTTATACGTTCCATCCTGCTCTTGAATTCTATCTTTGCCATTCCAAGTGTCTTAATGACTCACTACTTGTCTTTATTACTTGGACTTGATAGAGTCTTCATGAGTCATTAAGTCAGTTCAAAGTGAGCACCCTCTGTAATAACGCGACTGTAAGTTCGTGTAATGTCAACTGTCAATCATCTTTAAACTCACAGTAGCAAAACATCCAAACATTGAGACACAACCGACACCTTTGTGCAACTTGAAGAGTCAAAAATCACTATTAGTCATAGGTGCTACTATGTACCACAGAGACGATCAAACTACTATTTAAGCTTCACTACACATCACTTTGGTCTTGTTGTCATTCATTTGTACATCACCTTATCCTCTCAAAATGCCTGCACGACGAGTTTCAGGAAACTGCGAAAAGTGCCACATGCCTTACAATTCTGCTAGAGCATTGAGGACCCACTATGCAAACTCGACTTTCTGCGAGCCCAAGAAAGCAAGAACAGAAGACACTCCCTTATCGAATAGTCAAGAACAATCCCAGGCAAGCATGCATTCACAAGACGATACTCCAACGGCTACCACAAGTAATCAAGGAAATCAGTCATTACAGCAGCATGCTGCAGAGCAAAGAATAGAACGTGAGTTGTGTGAACTATAAGCAATGCATGACGTACCGTTCTAACTCCCATCTAAGTGCCATCAATTGAGTCCTTTTCATACTACAGTAGCTTCACTCTTGAACAAAAGGAAGGCCTTCGACATGTATATGATCTTGACACCCTCTCTTACGCCACTGATTTTAATGAAAGTGAATTGCTTTCATTGAAGCTCCGTGACATATTCGACAAGTATCCAGCATCGAGAGAAATGAGTCGTGAAAGTATATACTTTACCAATACAATCATTAAGAATATAGCAGAAGCAGGAGGTGGCACTAAAAGAGGTAAGCATATGAATACCACTATGCATTGTATCTTCAAGCGCACTCACCATATTGACATCTCCCTTTAATGCACAAAGGCATTGTGTTTCCAAAGCTGATTCAGTTCGATACTCTAGAGGCGCGCATGAGAAAGAAGACTGGCGTACAAGCATTCATCTACAAGGTCTGTCCTCAAGGCTGCAAAGTTTATCCCAAGAACGATACATCAGTCCAAGGAGTGTGCAATCACTGTGGAACTCCCAAAAGCGAAGCACAAAATATGAAGGTCTTGAGCATCGGTGATCAGCTAGCAAGAGTCTTGAGTGACAAGTCCAAACGAGATGAGCTCATGTCGTATCGACGTAACTACCAACATGATCCACATTTTTACCGAGACTACTTTGACGGTCAAGAGTACATTAACTTTCAACAAAGACGGGAAAGACAAGGCACCAACGTAGATGAGGAACCTATTCTGCTTGCCTTGTATGTCGACGGCTTCAAACCCCAAAGCAACTCTTCTGCTGGCGATACCTTAACGCTATTCCACGTTGTAATTTTGTCAGCCCCTCCATACCTCAGGTGAGTTATCTCTATTTGTATGGGTATAATATCCAATTAGTACCGGGTTCTAACCACCAACGATATTGCATTTATGTATACCAACCCACAGATACTTGGATAACTGGACCGTTCAGACAATGATTGCACCCGGCAAGAAGGCTCCAGTGGATCTTGAAAGCTACTTGGCTATTTTTGTGGACGAAATTCGTGATCTTAATGAACATGGCATGCTGGTTCGAGTGAATGGTGGTGAAGTTGCCCGAGTAAGCGTTCATTTGGCAATGGCGACAGGCGATCTTGTAGAAGTTTCACATTTGATGTTGCATGGAGGAGTCTCCAGTCAGTTTGGCTGTATGAAGTGCCTCATAGACACACAAGGAGGCCAATGCTTTACTCGCACAATCAGAAATTTCCAATACAGACACTACGGCCCAACTGATGCTCTCACAGAACATGGATGTGCTCTTTTGGGAACATCGATGTTCTCATGAGCACATTGATGTTCTCATTTGAGAAGGTGTAGTTTTCCACATGAATAAAATGGCTTGAATAGCTAAAGTATAATATTGTAGGCAACAGAGAGACTTTTATTATCTGTAAGATTCATAAAACTACTAAACGTATTATAAATTGCACGAGAAAATGGCAATTTAAAATTACCTAATAACTACTTATTAAAGTAAAAGAATATATTTCAATAAGATATTCGGGTAGTTTAGTGGGAAGAACGTCAGACCCACAACCGATAGGTTGTGGGTTCGACCGCGGTAGGAGCATTCTTTTTTTCAAATTTCTGAAAATCGATGCGCTCATATAAGAATATGGATGTGCTCACATGGGAACATTTCGGATGTTCTCATAAGAACATCGGCCGACTTATAATAGATCTTTAGGAACGCCGATGTTCCCATATGAGAGCATTTTTCAACTTTCGGGAACATCGATGTGCTCATTTGAGAACATCAAATAGATTCTCATATGAGCACATCGATGTTCTCATGAGAACATCAGTTGGGCCGTAGTGAGAACTCTCGAACAACTGAAAGCACCACTGCCTGTTGGCGTAAAACATGTGTTTGTAAATGAAGCAATTTCATTAAATAATCATGTATAATTCTTGTGCCAACCATCATCTCTTCTATAGAACATCAAAGGGCCATCCATATTTACCACTCTCAAGTCTTTTCCTGCCAACTCATCGTTTTACGGCCTCGACACACTTCACCTACTGAGCATTGGATTAGCTAAGCATTTGTACGAGCTCTTGTCTTCTCCATTGCATCCATCCAAGTTTAATAACCGATACAAGCCCTCTATCGAAGAACTGAAAGAAGCAAAGCTTGATAAAGCAAGTGCCTGGCCTTACACCTTTGATTTAGATCCCAAAGTTCTGGCAAAGATCGGTCAGTATGTGGCTCAATTAAAGAAGGCTCTTTGAAGATGCGCATCAAAGTAAACTGGACAAACTTCAAATCACCAAACTCCTTGCATTCCTTGGCGTGAACAGCCTTGTACACCATGCCATTCACGTTAACACCAGTTGTCATAGCCTTGTTCGCATCATCCACCTCCTCGAACTTGGCTTCAATAAGGAAAGAACCATCGTTCTTTTCATCGTAGACACTTAAAGGACGAAATTCCACCAAAGAAGACACCTGGGTTTTAATTACCTTGTACGCATCCACACGATCACCAAACAAACCCTTACGGAAAGAAAAGAGAACTGAACCAGAAGTAAGTGCCTGCTGCACAATCGCCATTGCCTTACTAGCTAAGATTTGACTCTTCAAATCATCATCCTCAAACATCACAGAACCCACCAAAGGGTAAGAAGAAGCGGCGGCCTCCACCGAACGCCTCTTGGATGGCTGATAGAACCTCATAGTAGAACCACGAGATGCACGTTCAGCCCAAGTCATTTCAGAATTGACTGACATAGAGTGTAACTTGTAACTGGAGTGTAACTTTTGTTGACTTTTGTAAAAAATAGTGAAAATGTTGAATTCGTCGAAAAATTGCTGAATCGATCTGAAATCAAGATATGTTGTAGAGCTGAAATGGGTGTATCTAAATATACTTGGATGCAAGATGGATGTATCCTAGTTGTTGAGATATCGTCGTTCAAAGTTGGCAAAAACAAAAACTTTTTGAAAAGTGATGTATAAGCGAAAGAGCCCCGATGAATACGCTTTTTTTTTTGTATCAAAGTGTATCTTTATTAGCATTAAGGTTTATAATTTATACAGAGTTTACAGGCAAGGCCAAGGTGCCAGCTTGAACACTTGCCAAAGAAAGAGAAGAAAAGAGTGTACCATGGTCTTGACGGACCATGTTGATAGCAGCAGAAGCTATCCAAGGCTCCTCGTCTATGACGCATCGCCAATGATACTTCCAAAGTGTACTGTAAGCAGTACCAAGAGCAATCAGAACATCCTCATCGATCACCAACAAATCTGAACCACTACAAAAGGTAGTCAGCGCCAACCAAATAGAAGAAGCAGAGGGGAGTAGCTCTTGAAGTGACAACAAAGAGACTACATCCTGCCAGAAAAATGACTTGACATGGCAACCCACCACAAAATGGTAAAGGTCCTCTGTAGAGAAACCGCAAAGAGCACAAGCAGGAGACAGAACTTTGGAAGGCATAATCCTATGGCACCACGAACGGTGCGGGACACGGTCATGTAGCAATCGCCACCAAGGTGTGAAAGCCTTTGCAGGCATTTCCAGGGACCAGAAAAGACGCCACGAAGCAGGAGACAGCAACAAATGGGCAGGCAACTTCAAGGGAGGACCCATACGAGAGGTAATGGTACCCTTTGCAGGGTGCCAATACCTTCGCAAAGCACCAAGAGAGAGACGAGCAACCGGAGCAGCAGAACGAGACGAGTTGGAGACAGTCCAATGAGTACAATCTGGCATCCAAGAGGTAGCACCATCAGAACGGGGCATAGTAAAATAGTCTGCTTGAGACAAGACTATCTTACTATCCATGACAGGCGGGAATACCAGAGAGACAGGACCACGATCACGGTTCAAGGCAAGAAAAACAGGGCGCAAAACACGAGATGACCAAGCAAGATGAGAGGTGACACCATCAACTATACCTAGATCAGGTTGCCAGAAAGAGACATCCGACACCAAGAAACGAGGATCAAGAGATGATGGATCACGAGGAGGACGAACAGAAGGCACAGTACTGAGTACAGAACACAAGGGAAGATCAAGAAACCACCTAGCAGACCAACCAGAGGAAGGAACTAACTTTGGCAATCTCAACAAAAGCTTTCCAAGATGTGTTAGAGCAGGCACAGAAGACACACGAGACTGGTAAAGACCAGGAAAACAAAACCACGGCAAGATGGACTTATGACCAGTGTAAACTTGAAAAGCATACACCAACCAAGAGGAGACAAAATCACTGGGAGAGGGTGGACGCAACAAACGTTGCAAATAGACAAGATGCAAAGCTAAGCTTTGATCTGCTATATCCACGAGACCAACACCACCAAATTTTCGAGGAAGACACAAAGTAGACCAGGCAACACCGGGGCGAAAAGACACCAGATACTCACGAATCACCTTTGTGAGCGACTTCAACCACGACGCAGTTACACCACCACCAGGAACAACACGCAACAAATGATATACCTTTGACAACAGTAACGAGTTAGCCACTAGTCCTGCTCCCCTAATGGAGAGATTCCTTTGTTTCAACAAGTTACTGTGTCGCTGGACCTTCACCAAGACACCATCAAGATAGTCTTGAAGTTGACTTTCAGTATGATACAAGGGATAACCCAAGTAACGTACTGCACCACGAGAGTGAGCGTCATGCCACTGGAGACCAGTAGAATCAGCCAAAGCAACCCAAGCAGAGTGGGACACACCAGACAACGACACCAACACTGTCTTGCTGATATTGACTTTCGCATTAGATGCTCGGCCATACAGATCAAGAACAGACAACAACACAGACCACTCTTCCGGCGAAGACAAAAACACCTCAAGATCATCCGCATAGCTCAGAATCTTGACAGGAGGAGGAGCAACAGAGCCACTAACAAAGTCCAAAGTCCAATTCCGGGCACCAGTACCATGATCCACACGAACTTCAACCGGTGAAGGCTTCCATTTACGTGGGATATTAACAGGAGACAGAGTAACACCAGAAAGACCAGGACAAGCAAGAAGAGAACGAAGCAAAGGCTCAAATGCCAGATTGAATAGCAATGGAGAAAGAGGATCACCTTGACGAAGACCTCGCAATTGAGGCACAGGAGCACCAAGCCAACCATTGATAGACACTGAAATCTTGGTTCCAAAGAACAAAGAAGACAGACAAGACACCAAATCACCAGGAAAACCAAACCGGAGCAACACACGACAAAGATACTCGGGGTAAACCCGATCATACGCCTTCTCTTGATCCAACAAAACAGCCACTTGAGGTAAATCAGGAGCAACAACACGCAAGTGAGACATCAACAACTGATTTAACCAGCCATTTTCAGAGATCAGACGATGAGGGAGAAAACCAGTTTGATAAGGGTTGATTAACTTTGGCAACACTTTGTTCATACGATTAGCAATGAGCTTTGTAAATAACTTGGCATCACTGTTAATTAAGGACAAAGGTCTCCAGTTAACCAACAACTGAGGGTCACCCTTCTTGAACAAAAGCACCATACGAGTTTGTTGCCACGAAGGAGGAAACACACCAGAAAAAGCTGCACCCAACACATCCACAAGCAAGTCAAGAAAATCAGTTGAAACACCAGCAAGATATTGATACAATTCAAAAGGCAAACCGTCAAGACCAGGACTTTTAGACTTGGGAGCATGAGTGAGCAAAGACAACAAAACATCGCGTGTTGGAAGTTCCATTAGCATATCACCATCCAAAGATGATAGACGTACATCAGTTGGAACATTCCCCAGGAGAGTATCGATAGCTTCAGCATCGACAGCATCAGGGGTATATAGCCTTTGGTAAAAACCTTGTGCCTCCCTGTTGATAGCTGCTGCTTCCACCAAGATATCCCCAGTAGTAGAGCACTTTAAGGATTGAATTGTCTGTTGAGACTCTCGCACCTTGATCGAACGATAGAAATACTTGTTGCTACGTTCTCCCTGTTCTAACCAACGAGTGGCAGAGCGAAGCATATTCTGACTAGTCTCTTTCTGTATCTGATTCTCAATCAAAACTTCCAGTTGCCTGACCTGCTCAGCATCACCTGAAGCAGTAGACACTCTGTCAGTTTGATCAATAGCATTCCTAGTCTCAATACCCGATACAGACGTCGACAGAGCCCTAATACGTTCCAGTTGAAGCGTAAAAACTTTGTTCTTGAATCGTGCTTTCATGCTTCTAGTGTACTTTTGTGCACAGCACTTTAGTAACAACTTGAAGGATTCCCATCTAGCCACCGTGCTTTCAGAGTCACCACTACCACCTTGACTAGTATTGACACCCTTAGACCCACCACCAACAGCACCAGAGAAGAACAATGACACTGTGGCATTCAACAACGCAACAAATTCCTTGTCATCAAGCAGAGTTGGATTGAACCGCCAACTACCAGGACCAATACTAGCTGTCGCAGGCAACATTTCAACAGTCAAAAGAGAGTGATCCGTCCACCCACTAGGCATATACAGTAACTGACTATTAGTCAAACGAGGAGCAAGAGAAGAGTGACCAAAGATGTAATCAATACAAGTATTGCTCTTTGGAAACGTGGCTAAACCATCCGGATGACAATTGACAAAATGAGTACGCAACCAGTGAACAAAAGGAGCGACATCGGCTTGACGAGAAGTAGACAAAGAGTGCAAGTGAATGTTGAAATCACCCATAACCATCCAAGGTGTGTTGAACACATCAGACCAAACAGAAAGAGAGAGAAAATCAGAGAGAAATGAAGGACGGTCAAAAGACTGCGCGGGACCATAAATATTGGCCACTTTGCACAAAACATTGCTTGAGGCATCTACGACAGATGCAACAAGACAACATTCGTCCAACAATACCTCCGTATCCACCAAAGAATAGCGAGAATTGAGACATATAATAGCACAATGCTTTGAAACAACGAGAGAACAATTAGGAAAAGCAAAGGAAAAGGAACGGACTTGAGATTCAGTGAGAGTAGATTGAGAGCGGAAATGAGATACCTCTTGCAAGCAAAGAATATCCAGATGGAGAGAGGAGGAGCGAAGATAAGATGAAAACTCTTTGAAATTTGTAGGATTAGACTGCATGAACAAGCTACGCGTGTTCAAGGAGCCAATCTTGATGCCTAATTTTGTACTCATTGAGCCCTACGGGCGTCTTGCTTAGTCTTGAGAGGCGCACGGCCATTAGTCTTGTTATTCTTGACAACACCAGAAACACCACCAGAAACACCACCGGAAGCAACACCAGAAGCAACACCAGACTTGTTACCCTTAGCACCAGTACCAGAAGAAACACCACCAGAGTTACCCAGCTTGCTACCACTGTTTACACCAGCACCAGTAGTACCTTTCAGGTTTGCATTGAACTCCATTCTTTTGCGCTGAGCAAGATCCTTCAACTTGGTCAAATTCAACATCTCCTCAGGCGAGTCAATGTTCATATTCACAGCCACCTCAGCAGACGCATACTTGGAGTAGGCAGAACCACGCACGGTATCCAGCTTCTTGGGAGCTCCAGCAAGCACAATCTTGTCGCCCCGATGAATACGCGAAAGAGCCTTTTGAAAAGTGATTGCGAGAGAGCACTTAGGCGAAAGAGCCTAAGAAAACCTAATCGTTAGTGGAACTTTTAGATGGCTTTAAAATAATACGTAATAGCTAAACAATAGAAATATTAAAAATATTATAACGTTTTTACATATATTCATTATAAAAATTAATAATTTTTATTATTACTTTTAATATTTTTGTATAATTAATTATATTGTATATTTAATTATTTTTTTTTTAAAGTGTTTTTGGCAGTCGTAAATATTTTTAAGCTAAAATCACTAAATAATTTAAAATTTATTAATATTAATACATAAATAGCAAAAATTTTAATAAACATTAAAATTTTGTTTAAAATTTTGTGTGTATATATAAATAACTTTAAATTTTGCTTGTTTATATAGATATTCTTGAAATACTTTTAATAGTTGGTCCGTAAATAGTATAATTTTTAATTATAAGCAAACTGGCATAGGTACTTGCTAACGATTACATTTTAGTGTGGCGAAGAGGTGGTCAGCACTTGAATAGTTTTTTTTTTTTTTCTGGCCAGAGAGAAACTTTTTTTTTGCCAAAAAAATAATAAACTCAGCATAAGCAAGGCAGGCTCTTTCGCGTATTCATCACTTTCTATAAGTTTTTGATAACGCCATCTTTGAACAACGATATCTCGACAACTAGGATACATCCATCTTGCATCCAAGTATATTTTGATACATCCATTTCAGCTCTACAACATATCTTGATTTCAGATTGATTCAACAGTTTTTCGTCGAATTCATCTTTTTCACTACTTTTTCAACAACGCGACTTAGTTACACTCTAGATTACAAGTTACACTCTACGTCTGTTACACTCCATGTCTTCCCAATCTGAATTGACTTGGGCTCAAAGAGCTTCACGTCAAAAGGTGGGTCGATTTCTCCAGCCCAACAAGCGACGATTGGACAATCCAACTGATGTACCACTGGTGGGTACTGTTCTCTATGAAGATGATGACCTGAAGGGTCAAATTTTGGCAAGCAAGGCTATGGCGATTATTCAGCAATCCCTTTCTTCTGGTTCTGTTCTGTTCACGTTTCAGAAAACTTTGTTTCCTGATCGTGTTGCCGCTTACAAAGTGATTCAAGATCAAATTTCACCTGACGTGGAATTTCGACCTCTTAGTTTGTATGATTCTCGTGCTGATGGTTCTCTGCTGATTGAAGCCAGGTTTGCTCAGGTGGAGCATGCACAAGTGGCTATGCGTGAAGGGGTGACAGTACAAGGTGTAGTGTACAAAGCGTCTACCTCCAAGGAAAGTGCTGAATTTGGGGATGTCAAGCATGTGCGGTTTACACTTATGCGTATGGTGGACAAGACCACTTTTTTGTCGGATCTTATGGAGTCCTTGTCGTACTTTGGTAAGGTACTGCAAGTGAAGAAGTTTACTCACCATGGTTACTTTGAGGGTAAACTTTCGGTGATTTTGGATACTTCTGTTGGATTTCAGGTAGGGGATGAGTGGCAGGAGGCCAAACCCCTAGATAGAATGCTCTATCTGAGCGAATTTGACTGTTTTGTGCCAGCGACTTATCAAGGTGCTCCACCTGTTTGTCATTTCTGTCAACACAGCGGTCATGTTCGCGCCAAATGTCCTGAATTGGCTAGACGTTGTTGCTTTAGGTGCAATAAGCAAGGGCACATGTTGCGTTTTTGTCCTGAAAAGGAGGTTCAGTCTGCAAATTTCACCAAGAAGCACAAAGTTCACCATCATTCTGAGAATTCTGAGGATGTCACTCTGGCTCGTAAGAACACTGTGGAATTGATGGAATATATTGAGAAGGAAAAATTAGGCGTAGGTAAGGAGGTGGAGAAGGTAGAAGAAGAAGAACTCGATTATCGTGTAGTCGAGGATGAATCTCTTCAGGGTGAAAGTGTTGACGAATCTGAAAATGATGAGTCCACTGGTAACGAGGATTTGGATCTTCTGAGTGAAGATAACCACCAGGTAAGTATGAATGAGGATGAGGATGAGGACATGGAGGACGACAAGATTGTGCTTGCTGGAGCTCCCAAGAAGCTGGATACCGTGCGTGGTTCTGCCTACTCCAAGTATGCGTCTGCTGAGGTGGCTGTGAATATGAACATTGACTCGCCTGAGGAGATGTTGAATTTGACCAAGTTGAAGGATCTTGCTCAGCGCAAAAGAATGGAGTTCAATGCAAACCTGAAAGGTACTACTGGTGCTGGTGTAAACAGTGGTAGCAAGCTGGGTAACTCTGGTGGTGTTTCTTCTGGTACTGGTGCTAAGGGTAACAAGTCTGGTGTTGCTTCTGGTGTTGCTTCCGGTGGTGTTTCTGGTGGTGTTTCTGGTGTTGTCAAGAATAACAAGACTAATGGCCGTGCGCCTCTCAAGACTAAGCAAGACGCCCGTAGGGCTCAATGAGTACAAAATTAGGCATCAAGATTGGCTCCTTGAACACGCGTAGCTTGTTCATGCAGTCTAATCCTACAAATTTCAAAGAGTTTTCATCTTATCTTCGCTCCTCCTCTCTCCATCTGGATATTCTTTGCTTGCAAGAGGTATCTCATTTCCGCTCTCAATCTACTCTCACTGAATCTCAAGTCCGTTCCTTTTCCTTTGCTTTTCCTAATTGTTCTCTCGTTGTTTCAAAGCATTGTGCTATTATATGTCTCAATTCTCGCTATTCTTTGGTGGATACGGAGGTATTGTTGGACGAATGTTGTCTTGTTGCATCTGTCGTAGATGCCTCAAGCAATGTTTTGTGCAAAGTGGCCAATATTTATGGTCCCGCGCAGTCTTTTGACCGTCCTTCATTTCTCTCTGATTTTCTCTCTCTTTCTGTTTGGTCTGATGTGTTCAACACACCTTGGATGGTTATGGGTGATTTCAACATTCACTTGCACTCTTTGTCTACTTCTCGTCAAGCCGATGTCGCTCCTTTTGTTCACTGGTTGCGTACTCATTTTGTCAATTGTCATCCGGATGGTTTAGCCACGTTTCCAAAGAGCAATACTTGTATTGATTACATCTTTGGTCACTCTTCTCTTGCTCCTCGTTTGACTAATAGTCAGTTACTGTATATGCCTAGTGGGTGGACGGATCACTCTCTTTTGACTGTTGAAATGTTGCCTGCGACAGCTAGTATTGGTCCTGGTAGTTGGCGGTTCAATCCAACTCTGCTTGATGACAAGGAATTTGTTGCGTTGTTGAATGCCACAGTGTCATTGTTCTTCTCTGGTGCTGTTGGTGGTGGGTCTAAGGGTGTCAATACTAGTCAAGGTGGTAGTGGTGACTCTGAAAGCACGGTGGCTAGATGGGAATCCTTCAAGTTGTTACTAAAGTGCTGTGCACAAAAGTACACTAGAAGCATGAAAGCACGATTCAAGAACAAAGTTTTTACGCTTCAACTGGAACGTATTAGGGCTCTGTCGACGTCTGTATCGGGTATTGAGACTAGGAATGCTATTGATCAAACTGACAGAGTGTCTACTGCTTCAGGTGATGCTGAGCAGGTCAGGCAACTGGAAGTTTTGATTGAGAATCAGATACAGAAAGAGACTAGTCAGAATATGCTTCGCTCTGCCACTCGTTGGTTAGAACAGGGAGAACGTAGCAACAAGTATTTCTATCGTTCGATCAAGGTGCGAGAGTCTCAACAGACAATTCAATCCTTAAAGTGCTCTACTACTGGGGATATCTTGGTGGAAGCAGCAGCTATCAACAGGGAGGCACAAGGTTTTTACCAAAGGCTATATACCCCTGATGCTGTCGATGCTGAAGCTATCGATACTCTCCTGGGGAATGTTCCAACTGATGTACGTCTATCATCTTTGGATGGTGATATGCTAATGGAACTTCCAACACGCGATGTTTTGTTGTCTTTGCTCACTCATGCTCCCAAGTCTAAAAGTCCTGGTCTTGACGGTTTGCCTTTTGAATTGTATCAATATCTTGCTGGTGTTTCAACTGATTTTCTTGACTTGCTTGTGGATGTGTTGGGTGCAGCTTTTTCTGGTGTGTTTCCTCCTTCGTGGCAACAAACTCGTATGGTGCTTTTGTTCAAGAAGGGTGACCCTCAGTTGTTGGTTAACTGGAGACCTTTGTCCTTAATTAACAGTGATGCCAAGTTATTTACAAAGCTCATTGCTAATCGTATGAACAAAGTGTTGCCAAAGTTAATCAACCCTTATCAAACTGGTTTTCTCCCTCATCGTCTGATCTCTGAAAATGGCTGGTTAAATCAGTTGTTGATGTCTCACTTGCGTGTTGTTGCTCCTGATTTACCTCAAGTGGCTGTTTTGTTGGATCAAGAGAAGGCGTATGATCGGGTTTACCCCGAGTATCTTTGTCGTGTGTTGCTCCGGTTTGGTTTTCCTGGTGATTTGGTGTCTTGTCTGTCTTCTTTGTTCTTTGGAACCAAGATTTCAGTGTCTATCAATGGTTGGCTTGGTGCTCCTGTGCCTCAATTGCGAGGTCTTCGTCAAGGTGATCCTCTTTCTCCATTGCTATTCAATCTGGCATTTGAGCCTTTGCTTCGTTCTCTTCTTGCTTGTCCTGGTCTTTCTGGTGTTACTCTGTCTCCTGTTAATATCCCACGTAAATGGAAGCCTTCACCGGTTGAAGTTCGTGTGGATCATGGTACTGGTGCCCGGAATTGGACTTTGGACTTTGTTAGTGGCTCTGTTGCTCCTCCTCCTGTCAAGATTCTGAGCTATGCGGATGATCTTGAGGTGTTTTTGTCTTCGCCGGAAGAGTGGTCTGTGTTGTTGTCTGTTCTTGATCTGTATGGCCGAGCATCTAATGCGAAAGTCAATATCAGCAAGACAGTGTTGGTGTCGTTGTCTGGTGTGTCCCACTCTGCTTGGGTTGCTTTGGCTGATTCTACTGGTCTCCAGTGGCATGACGCTCACTCTCGTGGTGCAGTACGTTACTTGGGTTATCCCTTGTATCATACTGAAAGTCAACTTCAAGACTATCTTGATGGTGTCTTGGTGAAGGTCCAGCGACACAGTAACTTGTTGAAACAAAGGAATCTCTCCATTAGGGGAGCAGGACTAGTGGCTAACTCGTTACTGTTGTCAAAGGTATATCATTTGTTGCGTGTTGTTCCTGGTGGTGGTGTAACTGCGTCGTGGTTGAAGTCGCTCACAAAGGTGATTCGTGAGTATCTGGTGTCTTTTCGCCCCGGTGTTGCCTGGTCTACTTTGTGTCTTCCTCGAAAATTTGGTGGTGTTGGTCTCGTGGATATAGCAGATCAAAGCTTAGCTTTGCATCTTGTCTATTTGCAACGTTTGTTGCGTCCACCCTCTCCCAGTGATTTTGTCTCCTCTTGGTTGGTGTATGCTTTTCAAGTTTACACTGGTCATAAGTCCATCTTGCCGTGGTTTTGTTTTCCTGGTCTTTACCAGTCTCGTGTGTCTTCTGTGCCTGCTCTAACACATCTTGGAAAGCTTTTGTTGAGATTGCCAAAGTTAGTTCCTTCCTCTGGTTGGTCTGCTAGGTGGTTTCTTGATCTTCCCTTGTGTTCTGTACTCAGTACTGTGCCTTCTGTTCGTCCTCCTCGTGATCCATCATCTCTTGATCCTCGTTTCTTGGTGTCGGATGTCTCTTTCTGGCAACCTGATCTAGGTATAGTTGATGGTGTCACCTCTCATCTTGCTTGGTCATCTCGTGTTTTGCGCCCTGTTTTTCTTGCCTTGAACCGTGATCGTGGTCCTGTCTCTCTGGTATTCCCGCCTGTCATGGATAGTAAGATAGTCTTGTCTCAAGCAGACTATTTTACTATGCCCCGTTCTGATGGTGCTACCTCTTGGATGCCAGATTGTACTCATTGGACTGTCTCCAACTCGTCTCGTTCTGCTGCTCCGGTTGCTCGTCTCTCTCTTGGTGCTTTGCGAAGGTATTGGCACCCTGCAAAGGGTACCATTACCTCTCGTATGGGTCCTCCCTTGAAGTTGCCTGCCCATTTGTTGCTGTCTCCTGCTTCGTGGCGTCTTTTCTGGTCCCTGGAAATGCCTGCAAAGGCTTTCACACCTTGGTGGCGATTGCTACATGACCGTGTCCCGCACCGTTCGTGGTGCCATAGGATTATGCCTTCCAAAGTTCTGTCTCCTGCTTGTGCTCTTTGCGGTTTCTCTACAGAGGACCTTTACCATTTTGTGGTGGGTTGCCATGTCAAGTCATTTTTCTGGCAGGATGTAGTCTCTTTGTTGTCACTTCAAGAGCTACTCCCCTCTGCTTCTTCTATTTGGTTGGCGCTGACTACCTTTTGTAGTGGTTCAGATTTGTTGGTGATCGATGAGGATGTTTTGATTGCTCTTGGTGCTGCTTACAGTACACTTTGGAAGTATCATTGGCGATGCGTCATAGACGAGGAGCCTTGGATAGCTTCTGCTGCTATCAACATGGTCCGTCAAGACCATGGTACACTCTTTTCTTCTCTTTCTCTGGCAAGTGTTCAAGCTGGCACCTTGGCCTTGCCTGTAAACTCTGTATAGATTATAAATTTAAAGCTAATAAAGATACACTTTAATACAAAAAAAAAAAAAAAAAGCGACACAGTAACTTGTTGAAATGGCACCCTGCAAAGGGTACCATTACCTCCCCACTACCGCGAAAAACTTAGCGGAAATGCTCTAAAATAGGTGTTTTTGTTGGTGCTTTTTTACAGCCAAAGTATTTGGAAAAGTTGGTGCTTTCGGTACAGGCTTCAAAATTAAAACACTCTAAATTTGGCGTCAATGCGCTAAGTGGTACAAATTGAAAATATTCCATCAACATTGCGGCACAAAAGTAAACCTTATTGAAAATAGAAACTGTTGTATAGCCGATGATATTTACTGCATTACACAACAATTGAATCCTATACCGTGCAACGTTGTTCAGCTAAAAGACCAATAGTTGCTCATGGGGATTATGACATTGGAATGATATAATTGGTGGATCTTTATTAATAGAATGCGCTATATATTACTCCTGGGGCAATTGTTGGGGCAGCAATCGTGCGATTATTGGATAGAATGATATGGAAAGCAGGATTATTGATGGATAAAATTGTCTTTTATTGATGGAAATATAGCAGAATATAGAATCATTGCTTTCAAATACATGCAGCGTGCTATACACATGGTAATGGGACGTTGCTCCGTTGGGTAGGCAATTCCTTTGACTCGTTATACAGCAGTTAGCTAGCTACCCTGTCATTCAAGAGCCTCCTGATTGTATTAAAGATAAAGCGGCAATAGCTATACATGTTTACCCATTACGAAGAGTTCCATACAAGAGTAACAGAGATGAGGATTGACATGGAGATAAGCAGCCAGATTAGAGTTGATTGGCACCCACCACACGAGTATCTAAATGCAAAACTAATGTTAGTCATAGAGTTCAATCCTGAAAAATATTTAACAGCATACCACATTTGCCACGTACCATCATCGTAAACTTGACACACAAGCAGAACAACAACAACAGGATAGGAGGCGGTCATGAGAAACTATAAGAGATGATAGGAAATGTGAGCAACGATGGTACGGCACGATGTAAGATGCACAGAGTGATTGACAACTTACAAATATACTTTAGTATATGCTGATTAGCGAAGATCTTCCAGCAGCAGCACCAGGGGAGGATGTTCTATTCTATATTCAATGTTTAGTCACTGCCATACTTCTCAGATGATGCTCCTTACCTACCGTTATTCCCACAGAGATGATTAAAACGGTGTGATACTAATAGGCAACAGCCACATTCGAGGAGAACCTACTGCGTTATCATCTGGCGTATGCTGCCGATAATATGTTTTTAATAAGAAAGCCACCAACAGAAACATTTGGTCAGATAAATTACTTACTTTGTACCAGAAAATGAATTGAAATTACGGAAAGAAAAGAAAAGAAAAAGGATTTAAAATAATTCACGAAAAAAATACTCTTTTTATAGACAAAATTTAAAGTTTTATTACAGCATGTCATAACCATCAGAGTAGTAATAGTCATCAGCATCATCATTCAAAGCCCACTCCCCCCAAACATACGTTATCCAACGATCCGAAAGCTTTTGAAAGTCATCAACGTGTTCCCCCTCCATTGTAAAGCACATTGCTACTATAAGAGAAGAATAGACACACTGCATCATTGTATAACTGACTTTGCTTTTTCCTTCCAGACTGGCATCATTCAAACGCTTCGTTAGCACTCTTTCATAATCACAAGCTCGTGCGTAGTACATGAAATGATAGCTTGGATTATTTTCAATATCAAGCGCAGGTCCAAAGCGATACTTGTAATATTCAACGAAGCGCTTTACAGTGCTACAGACAGATGTGCAATGATAATTAATACTTTATTCAAAGAACTCGCATGACGTATTATTTCTATTCTAACCTCATCAAATCTGCAGAGGAACAGGAACTCCAGCTATAGTCTAGGTAAGATTCACTAGGGTCTCTTGGAACCATTGGGGTTGCGTGTACGCTTCTTGATGCAGCTAAGCGACCAGCAGTAGAGTTGCGGAAATCTTCATTATCATCGTCATCTTCACCCTCATCTGGGCCATCATCACCACCAGGACAATTGCCAGTAGCTCCATTACCAGAAAGAGAAAAAGAAGACGAGAAACCATCAAAAGAGCTACTGTCAGAAGTACTACCAATAGCTCTTGTTGCAGAACGGCGGCGAGTCTTGTGGACAGAAGCCAACAGAGCAGTGGCACCCCAGCTGTTGGTACAACGATGCAAGATGAACCCATACTTCTGCGCATGTGCTTCAAAATACAGAGCATGCTTCAGGATTAATGCCTCATCCACACGACTCCAAGCTGGAACGACCTTGTCATCTACGGCCAAATCGTTGACATAATAGTATTCATCAAGAAGACGTTGGTGATAAACTAGACACATCTTGCGAAGGGCTTTGTATTGAGCAACGACAATCGGATGATTGAAAGCGTAACCCCTTTCATTGACGTCCCCACTTGACTTCATACTAAAGTTAATGAGGCCAAGCAAACGAGTTCTGGCATCAGGGTAAATGGCATTTCCTTGGGAGTTAACCTTGCCAGAGTTGATCCAGTATTCCAAAATCTCAGGGACAACTGGATTTATATCGCGAGGGCCACGCAAATTAGGGTTTCCTACAGGAGCAGGAGCCAAGTTACGCGCTAAAAATAAATAACAATGTCAATGTCTATTTCAATTCAATGCACATCAGTGTTTACCTGTAGCAATCACTCTTCCGACATCAGTTTTATTGCCAAAACAC